TACAATTCATCGGTCATCAAGATGGATGGGGTTGTCTTAATATGCACAGGTCACACCTGTGGAAAAGAAGAACAGACAAGACAGTTAAAATACAGTCAAAAAATGTTGTTGTTGTTGTTGTTGTTGTTTTTTGGCTAAACAGCAAAAACAGACAAAATTATGTCTAAAGTGTAATTCACTTAATACGAACATCTTGTTTGTTGGACTGTTTCATTTACGATCATGTTAAAACATCAATCTTGTGTGATACTATTACATCTTATGACAAAAAAAAGCATAACACCTTCAAATGAGTACATGTCAAGTTACACATAGTTAAAAAAAAAAAACAATTACGATATTATACACAGACAATACTGTGCACCTTTGTATTTGGACAAAAATGCACTTTTTGGGCAGTCCACATAGACTGTCACTGATTAACGTTAACTTAAATGGGAGATCGCCAGGTCAGGATTTACACAAAAATAAGCGTGAAAAAAATCTATAAGAGGAATTGAAACTTTAATTTTATAACAATAATCCGAATCCTAACCTTGGATATCCGATTTCAGGATACATTTATCGATTTTCAATTCCCAACCCTATAAAGTTATAAAATAATGAACGTGCAGGCACTTCAACCAACTTAACGTGGTAAATATAAAATGATTAGACCATTTTGACCTTATAAGGCTATATATGATATTTATGTTAATAAAATCACATTTATCAAGTAACTTAGGCTATCAACATTAAAGAAATCCACGTCTGACTTATACAGACGTTAGAACATGCCGCGGCCAGTTCTTTCTAACGTTAATCTGTTAAAGTAAGTACCTGATATGGTTTGCTTAAAAATATAAAATTACTAACCAGATAGCATGTATGGCGAGAATGTTGCCAACAGCGATGCGATGCACGGCCTGCGAGCTCTTACAGAGGGAAGGGAACTGAGTTCTGCATAACATGGCAGCTTGTTGTGGTTATTGTTCGCGGTCATTTCGTACTAATGTATTTAAATTGACAGTAACATGGCCCAAAATAGGCTATATTGAAGATTATCATATTGTACACGTCTTAGGCCTATAGTAAAATGTCTTGAATAGATTAAATTGAATATAGAAATTGTGGTCAGCTATTCCAAATAATTTTAAATTTATTAGTAAGAATCCGTAATTACTTACCAGATGAAGAAGTTCCAGGTCGGCAGAAAAGACAGCGGCACCACTGACACGACAGAGAAACTCTTTCAAAATTCAAATGCGCTCTCATGCACACCCCACTGAATTAAGACTGTTAATGGTCCCCCAGTGCTATTTTTTTTAATGTAAGAATAACATTAGTAGGCTAGCAATTTTACCCGTTGAACTGTGTGGTGTTTTTCGCGGTCAATTTGCACTGCTGTATTTAGATTAACAGTAACAGATAATTTCCCAGAATGCATTGAAATTCTACAGTAACTGTGTGCACAGTACAGAACTGTTGAAAAAACAAGTTAATACTGTGAAAACAACTAAATCTACTGTAACTTACTGTACATAGATTATTCAGTAAGAAACTGTTGAGAAAAAAAGTATAATCCTGTGAAAACAACAGAAATCGTTTACAGTGTAATGTTTATATGTAATACAAAAATACCTCAGAAACTAACTGAGAAGGGAACTAACTGAAAAAAACACACAAACACAAAACGCTGAAGATCACGACCCTTAAATCACAAAGCACAGAATGGGGCGAAAAACTTGAAATTTCCTCCAGAGATACTGTAATTGCCTGTTCCTCTTTTGCAACAATCCAATTACCTTTTCGATCTGATTATATTTGAAAAGTATTATGTTATGTTTTTCGAAAAGGGCAAACTGGCCATGCTATCAAAGTCACAGAGCACGTAATTATATCATACCACTGGGTCACTATTGTAGGCTGCGGGTGGCTCGGACAAGAGAGGAGGAAGATTTTGTGTCCCTGAAAGCCAAACCACAGGCCCCATCCACACATCTTAAGAACTGTAATTAACCAAGGTCACCTCTGCAACGATAGAAGTTTATCAGCCTCGGCTAATGCAAAGGACGAAAACCAATTTTGTGATAATTAGGCTTTCTTTCCCAAAACTGCTGGTCTACTGGTGTGAGTAAAGCAAATAATCTGCATAGTGATATTTTGTTTCTTTTGTAGCGACCTTTCCACTACCCAAACTCTGGAGGAAACAGTGTGGGATGGTGGATGGGTTATGGAGATGCTATTTTTTTATTATTATAATCATAAATACACATCTAGATGTGGTATTTTACATGAAAGGACACAGCATACTGAGATCCAACAAGACAACAATCGAACTAGTCCAACTTTACATTAAGTGGATTTTAATTATGCACTATGTTAACACAAAAATTTATGCACTATAAAAACACAAAAAAGTGTAATTCCTGTCTTAACCAATAGGATATGATTAGTTGAGGACTGAAGAACAGACTGCAGTAACATACGGATACTCAGGATAAATACCAAGTCATTAGAAGTGGCTTGGAGAAGTGGTGGGAGAGGGAGGAGTCATTATAAACGGAACAAAAATCAAGCCTGCACTAGTTCAGGCAAGCCGCGTCAGCCAAGCTCGCATCAGCTGATAGCCAGCTGTTCCTGACCTGTACCAATCCAGTGTCGACATCTATCACAGTAGCACATATAAGCTCCCATTCCTTCAGCATTTCCTCCATAGCATCACTGCTCGGATTGAAACTCCCTCCTCCAACCCCAACTCCACCAACTGAACCTTTAATCCTTAAACCAGAAAGAAGTAGTCAAGCAACTGGTGACAGTAGGCCACTAGGCCACGCACCGAATAGGCCTGTCCCGGAGTAAAACTATCTAGGCACTCAGCTAGGACTAAGCACGTGTGCTGTAGGGAATTGTATAGATTTTAATGAACTTACAAAAACACGTGCAGATCTATACACGGACACACACTCAAAAAGGAACACAAAGCGCAAGGCTCCCAAAGGACGGAAAAAATGCACACGCATGGAGAATTGTGCCCACGCCGGAAGCCTCCCCAGCGGAACCTGAAGTCGCATGACTTATGTGTCGCAAGTTATGTCACAAGTTTAGTTCGTTGGAAAGAACCCAGATTGCTCAAGGATGGAAAAAACCCAGAGTGCAGAAGGAACAATGTAACCCAGTTCAGTATAAATATTAGGGGTGCACGATTCAGAAAATGTCACGATTCGATTCGATACCGATTTTTTGTCTCGAGATTCGATTCAAAATCGATTTTCGATTCAAAAACGATTCTCGATTCAAAAAACGATTCGCAGGTCTACATAAATGTAGTTTACTTTTTCCTATGTGATTGATTGCAGTAGAAATAATTTAAAAGAAAAGTTTGATATTACTTTATATGTCTTCATACAAAAATAAAAACTTTTGCAACTAAAAAGTGCGAAGTGCCAAGCTTTGGCCAGCTTTTAAATACATTTAATTCAAGTTTAAAATAAAACTTAAATAAAAAGCTTTTACATTTAGCTTTAAAGTGCTAAAGTCAGATCAAACAAACAATTATGCTAAATGTGGTTTAAGGAGTAGGCCTAATTCAGCTACCAGGTTGACTGTTGAAATGTGAACTCGACTGGGCACATTGAACTTCCTAAAAATATATACTAATTTCATAGAACCCTTGCGAAAATATTTTAAATAGATTTAAAAAAGCCACCGCTACTGGTAACATCTACGGTTAGATTGATTTGTTTAGATCCAGTGAAGTCGTTAATAGGCGCGTAATTTGCGGGTATCTCCAGTTAACTAGCAGAGCATTCATTTAGGTCGCTATTAAATAAGAGACCTGTTGTTTTTGAAATCAAGCTGAGCGCTCGTGTCCGCTGCGATCAGTGTCATGGATATACAGTGTTCTCTGTGGCTCGCGCAGTCTTCTCTCGGACGCGTGCTTCAACCTATCGCCGTTGTGGAGACTCCGGTGAAATCACAAAATAAAATGCACACAAACGTGATGAACATATTCGGTTTTGATGAGAGAGAGAAAAAACTATACGAGTGCGGTTTAGAACCCGTAACCTCTGACACGCTTGGCAAAAGATCTACAGAACTCAAACATAAGATCTGCGGATCGATGCATTTATTTACGGGTTGAGCAGAGTGGCTGCACAGTTTGACCAGCGGGCGGCAAGAACTTGCAATAACTATTTATCAGACCGGCCCTCGCAGCCTCGAAACCATAGAAACACTACCGGACCACCGGTAAAAGTCCCGACTTACCCGATTGCCACTCCGCCCCTGCACGCCATTAAAAAATATAGGCTATGAATCGATTTTTGGAATTCTATGAATCGATTCTGAATCGGTAAAGATTGAATCGCGATTCAAATGTGAATCGATTTTTTTTCACACCCCTAATAAATATGACTGCTCTTTCGCTGCTAGTTGTTGCATCCTTGATCGAGATCTTTGCGTGCATCCCTGAAGGTAATTACTCTTCAGTCCAGTTTACTGGAAAAGTTTTTGATCTAATTGCTCTGGTTTAAGTTTTTAACTTGATATGCTCTGAACAAGACCAAGTTAATTTTTCATCTATTGCTTGAACTGTGTAGGTATATAGCTTTTGTAATTGTTCCACTTATACAGGACTGTTTGGATATACTGAAGTATTATAATCTGTAACCTTTTATTATTTTGCTACAAATACAAATCGTTGTGTAACCAGTATTTTGATCGTTTGTATAAATAAATGTTCATTTTATAAAGACGGAAGTGTTTTATTTTTTACTTCAGTGTACATGAAACAGTTCTATAAGCAATAGTCAGAGCATTAGAATCATTCTCGCGAGATCAAGAAGTCATCAGGACCAGTCCTCGAAATTAACTTTTTTACTTGGTAGCACTGGTGCTACCAACTTCAAAAAGTTAGGAGCACCAGCAAAAATTAAGGAGCACAACAACTACAAATTATATATAAACAGATTTCTTTTATTTAAAAACACCACCAATCAACACCAACAATCACTGGGTCTTTACACATCCTGTGGCCAGGATTTGAAATTTGGTCTCCTGGCTCTCTGTCCCTCCTCCATCCATCTCTTCACTGAAGCTGAGGCATCGAAAGCCTCCAAAGGAGGACCCTCAACGCTGATTCGGATCAGATCTTCCACTGTGTTCGGGTGTAATGAACATCTAATGTCTGATTTTATGCGCTTCTGTACAGAGAACCCTCTCTCACACTGTGCCGAAGACACATGAAGGATCAGCATGATCCTTACCAGATGAAGGATATTCTGAAACAAAAATCATTTAAATTTCATTGTCAGCGTAGAAGCATTCAGTGACAGCATAAAATAATGCAATAATTATAACAATCTAAAATATATTGATTGTCAAACTACTGAGACATTACATTACATAGCCTACCTGTAAGTCTGAACAATAGGGTTCCTTGGTCAGAAGGATTTCCCATAACCCGTGGTAGCTCTTGTCTTTGAAGGACTCCTCCGCAGCAAGGGCAAAGTCACAGCCATTCCTTAATTAGATACAATCCAACTGTAACTGGTTGGCTCTTAAATGATTAAACCTTTTAACAAAAATGACAAAAAGTCTACATTTTCATTATTATCCATGAATTACCTTTCCAGTACAACTTTAAAATGGTCCAACAAGAAGTGGACCTCCTCAATTCCATAATCAACCAACTCCTCCACTGTCTCTGGCCAAACATCATGGTTGAAGACCTGGAAACATTGAACCGCTTTGGTTGCTGGAGTGTCTGTTCCATGTCCCTCATGACCTAAAGAAGACGTAAAAAGATGTTCCCTTTCGTAGTCACTTCGAGTTACGTCAGAAGTGACGGAGATTGGGGGATTTCGCATAGAAAGCCAATCCTCTTCGAGTATTTAAACACGAGCCAATGGCATGCAATGCCTTGGGGCTGCGGAAATTTGCATAGCGTACTCCGCCCTACTCCGTGAGTATAAAAGGAGGAAGTGAACGCAACCGCAGTATGTTTTCGCTTCGGAGCCAAGAGAACCTCTTCACTCCTAAAAGCTGATTCAAGACTCTTCGAGACGAGCGTTCTCTTCAGTGTTGGTGTGACGGCGGTACCCAGCGAGTTTCTGCATTGCCTGCGATCTGTGCAGTGGTCTGCCAGACTTTGCGCTTCTCCCTGGTCGCCTCAGCGCTGAAAGAGTGAATTTCCTCCTCTCTGTAAAAGAGCTACACGCGGCACGTCTTTTTAAAGACGGTTCGCCCGTGTTCTTCTGGATGCGGTCGATTTCTGTCGTCATCTGATGGTCGCGATCGCTGCTCTGTATGCCTGGGCATTCAGCATGCAGCAGCAGCGTTCGTGGATGACTCATGTTCCTGCTATGGGGACATGACCATCTCCACACTGAGGTTAAAAAATATATATATATATATATAAAAAAAAAAAAAAAAAAATCTCACTAGAGTGAGAGCCCCGGTCCCCCTTACTCGATCGGCTTCCTTCACGAAAGGGGGCCCGTCGACCGGGGACCCGGCGAATTAACGGTGACGGTGTGGCATAAAGCCCCGACGATTTCTCGGGCCACACCTCCCGCCTCAGTGCGTGAGCCAGCGAGCGTTAGTTCGATTCAGTCGGCTGCCTCTTCAGTGGTACCGGCTGCTTCGAGCAGCGCTCCAGATGATGATGTGATGTCGATCGCAGCATCACTAGGCGGGCTACAGTCCTCGGGAGATGAGGATGCGGCTGCACTGCCCCCTTCGGGAGAGCCAGCGCTGCCCGTGTCGGATCCCGAGCTGACGGCATGCTGTCTCGAGCCGCTGGGAGTATTGGGTTAGAGTGGCATCCTCCATTCTCCCCCGATCTCTCACGGAGGGATAATTGGTTTTTGGATAAAGCTGCCGCCGCGAGGCCACGGCCAACTCCATTGCCTTTTTTCCCCGAGCTGCATGTGGAGTTATCACGCTCTTGGGGGACTCCTCTGTCCACTCGAGAGCGCGATCTCTCCCCCGCCTTTCCCCCCTCGATGGGGGGGCCGCCCGTGGGTGCACTGGGATGCCCCCGCTGGAGCGCTCTGTTGCGGTACAGCTGTGTCCACAGGGCGCCTCCTCCGTGGTCCTCCTAGGCACCCATCCAAAGCCTGTAGGTTCTCGTCTGCCATGGCGGCGCGTTCCTATAGAGCGGCGGGACGGGCGGCCTCCGCTTTGCATGCGATGAGCACTGTTCAGATGCTCAGAGATATGCTCGAGGGCGGGACTGATCCAACGGCATTCGAAGATTTGCGGTCCGCCACTGACCTTGCTCTTCAAAAGGGCAACGGAAGTGGCCGCTCGCGCCGTTGGTCAGGTGATGGCCACTAGTGTGGTCCAGGAGCGTCAACCTTGCAGACACTCGGAGCGCTGAGCGGATTCGTCTGCTCGGCGCCCTTCTCTCCCAGGTTGGCCTTTTTTGGCGGTGCAGTCGAGAACTCTTGCCCAGCAGTCTCCACTGCCCAGGAGCAGACGGAGGCAATCAAACATGTTCTGCCCCGACGACCAGCTGCTGCCTCCACCCAGTCGTCGGCACAGATGCCTCCCGCTGCTCGCCGCCGAGGACGCCCCCCCGCGGCTCCCCTCCCTCCCGCCCCGCCCCAGCAGCAGCCTTCATCCGGGCCACGGCGTGGAGGAGGCCGCCGGCAGGCGTCACAGCCCCCTCAGGCCGCACACACCGCTAAACGCCAGGTAAGCGATGATCCTGATACGGGCTGCTCAGTGATGGAGTTGAGTTTTTCCCCAGGAGGTGGGAGCAGGCCCCCTCCTGCCCCCGGTGGAGGGCCGGGGGGAAATCTTTCGTTTTCAGCTCCCGCTGCTCGCCCACGGGTGGGCAGCGCCCTGAGTTGGTTAAAAAAGACTTGACATCATCACTGAGCCCACAGACGGGAATGAGTGCGCTAGACGTTCCAGTGCGTCAGCCCACACATTCCTCTCTGTCTCTGAGGGCGCGGAAGGGTGCGAGTGTCGTCCACGGGCTACGCCAATCCCTTCCCCCTCTATCGCCAGACCCCCGGCAGAACAGACCCCCGTGGAACGCTCCGCCTTCCCTGGTCTCTTCTGTCGGGGAGCGGGCTTCGACGCATCCGAGCGGGGTAGCCCCTGCACGCGTGCCAGTCGACCCGCCCCGCTGCCCCTCCAGGGGGACGTCTGTGTTCGAATGACCCCGTTGGTTCACTTCCTGGAAGCCTGGCTAGAGCTTCCCGGGGGATCCTGCTGGGTCATCAGAACGATCAGATTCGGCTATGCGATTCAGTTCGCACGGTCTCCTCCCCGCTTCAGGGGAGTTCGCTCCACGATGATCGGTGGCTATGCCCCGGGTTTTGAGAGCGGAGGTTGCGACCCTGCTGGCGAAGGGTGCAATCGAGACGGTCCCTCCAGCCGAGGTGAGGTCCGGGTTTTACAGCCCCTACTTCATTGTCCCCAAGGAAACCGGTGGGTTACGACCGATCCTGGGCCTGCGCATTTTGAACCGTTCTCTCCATCGACTACCGTTCAAAATGCTCACAGCCAAACGCATTCGCGAATGTGTTCGGTTTCAGGATTGGTCTGCAGCGTTTGACCTGAAGGACGCGTACTTTCATGCCTCCATTTTGCCTCAACGCAGACCGCTTCTTCGGTTGCTTTCAAGGGCCAGGCATATCAGTACACGGTTCTCCCATTCGGGTTAGCTCTGTCCCCTCGCGTCTTCACGAAGACCGTCGAGGCAGCCCTTGTTCCCCTTCGCGAACACGGGGTTCGCATCCTGAATTTTTCTCGACGACTGGCTGATACTAGCACACTCTCGAGCTCAGGTTTGCGAACACAGAGACCTGGTGCTACGGCACCTAGCCCGTCTGGGCCTTCGGGTCAACCGGGAAAAGAGCAAACTTTGCCCCGTGCAGAGGATCTCTTTTCTCGGCATGGAGATAGACTTGGTCGCCATGTCCGCGCAGCTCACGAACGAGCGCGCGCACTCACTGCTGGCTTGCCTTCGACAGTTCGAGGGCAAGAGTGCGGTTCCACTGAAACTATTTCAGAGGCTCCTGGGGCATATGGCATCCGCGGCCGCGGCAACGCCGCTCGGTTTGCTTCATATGAGACCGCTTCAGCTGTGGCTTCGCGATCGAGTCCCGAGGTGGGCATGGCATCGCGGTTCGCTCCGAGTTCCAGTGACTCCAGCGTGCCGCCGAACCTTCTTCCCGTGGTCGAACCTCAGCTTTTTACGGACCGGCGTCCCTATTCAGCGAGTTTCCAGGCATCTCGTTGTCTCCACGGATGCATCTACCACGGGTTGGGGTGCCATGTGCAATGGGCATGCAGCCGCCGGTTCCTGGACAGGAGCCCAGCGCCTCATGCACATCAATTGCCTCGAGCTGTTGGCAGTACGGCTCGCCCTGCGCCGCTTCCGAGCGTTGCTCAAGGGCCAGCATGTGCTTGTCCGTTCAGACAACACTACGGCAGTAGCGTACATCAACCACCAGGGGGGTCTACGCTCGCGCCAGTTGTCGCAGCTCGCCCGCCACCTCTTGATATGGAGTCAGAAGCACCTGAGGTCCCTTCGTGCAGTTTACATTCCTGGAGACCGGAACTGGGCAGCCGACGAGCTGTCCCGGGCCCGTCCCATCTCCGGCGAGTGGCGACTCCATCCCCAGTCGGTCCAGCTGATTTGGGACCAGTTCGGGGAGGCACAGGTAGACCTGTTCGCCTCTCGGGACTCGTCCCACTGCGCCCAGTTTTATTCTCTGACCCGCGGCACTCTCGGCTCGGATGCGCTGGCGCACAGCTGGCCACGGGGCCTACGCAAGTATGCGTTTCCCCCAGTGAGCCTCCTTGCACGGGTGTTGTGCAAGATCAAGGAGGACGAGGAGCAGGTCTTGCTGGTAGCCCCCTATTGGCCCACCAAGACGTGGTTCTCCGAACTCATGCTCCTCGCGACAGCACCTCCTTGGCCTATTCCTCTGAGACCAGACCTACTCTCTCAGAGACGGCGCACTCTGTGGCACCCTCGTCCCGATCTTGGAGGCTGCACGTGTGGCTCCTGGACGGGACGAGGCAGGTTTGAGTTCGCTGCCACCTGCGGTGGCGGCAACCATCACTTCCGCAAGAGCGTCGTCCACGAGACACCTTATGCGTTGAAGTGGAACCTCTTCGTCATTGGTGTTCTTCTCGCGGAGAAGACCCCCGGAGATGTTCGATCAGTGTCGTGCTTTCTTTCCTGCAAGAAGGGTTGGAGCGCAGGCTGTCGCCCTCCACCCTTAAGGTTTACGTCGCGGCCATTGCCGCTTCTCATGAAGCAGTGGAAGGTAAGTCCTTAGGGAAGCACGACCTGGTCATCAGGTTCCTGAGGGGAGCGAGGAGGCTGCATCCGCCTCGTCCTCCCCTCGTACCCTCTTGGGACCTCTCGGTAGTTTTAAGTGCTCTGCAGAGGCATCCCTTTGAGCCTTTGCAATCGGTAGAGTTAAAGTTTCTGTCTATGAAGACAGCACTCCTGGTTGCATTGGCCTCCATCAAGAGGGTGGGGGACCTGCACGCATTCTCCATTGACGAAGCGTGCCTGGAGTTCGGGCCGGCTTACTCTCACGTGATCCTGAGACCCCGGCCTGGATATGTGCCCAAGGTTCCCACCACTCCCTTCCGGGACCAGGTGGTGAACCTGCAAGCGCTGCCCCCGGAGGAGGCAGACCCAGCCTTGGCACTGCTCTGTCCGGTACGTGCGCTCCGCACCTATGTCGACAGAACGCAGTGTTCAGGACCTCAGACCAGCTCTTTGTCTGTCATGGAGGGAGCCAGAAGGGAAGGGCTCTCTCAAAGCAACGGCTGTCCCACTGGATAGTGGATGCCATTGCTTTGTCTTACCAGCAGCAAGGCCTTCCGTGCCCCCTTGGTGTGACGGCCCATTCCACTCGGAGTGTGGCCTCCTATTGGGCTTTAGCGCACGGCGCCTCGCTAACAGACATTTGCAGAGCTGCAGGCTGGGCGACACCCAACACCTTCGCCAGATTCTATAATCTGCGAATTGAGCCGGTATCCTCTCACGTTCTCGTTTCGGCCAGTTCTGGATCCGCTCAGGTGTCTTCGCTTGCTCGCCACTCCACTCCCCGGACTGGATAAGTGCGATATTTCCTCAGTTCTTCCATTGAAGTCTTGAGTCCTCCAGCACCGACGATGCGGGCACCACTGCTGTGGCTCTGGATGCTGGCTAGGTGCCTCCATGCGTACGGTTCCCCCATGGTAACCGTCTCATGTGTATTATCCACTGTAAGCCTCTCGGAGCATGTGTCTTCCCTTGGCAAGCCATCTGCCACCCCTGGAGCTGAAATCAGTAGCCACCTGCGGTTGGTGCTCCAGTGATTCCATATGTGTTCCTTGTGGCCATATGTGTTTTCGTAAGTCCTCCCTTCGGTAGGCAGCTGGTAGCATGTCCCTTCCGGGATATGTTTCCCAGTGTACCTTGGTAATCCTGTGTCAAAGTCGGATCCCCAAAAAAAAAAAAAAAAAAAAGAGGTAAGGCTCGGGGGTTCAGACTTTCGCAGGGCACTGGAAGACAGCTTGAAGTTGGCGTGATGGCACAGACCCCCAATCTCCGTCACTTCTGACGTAACTCGAAGTGACTACGAAAGGGAACGTCTCGGTTACGTATGTAACCCTCGTTCCCTGAGTAGGGAACGGAGATGTTACGTCTCCCTGCCACTTCTGCTGTATCGCTGGGTAGATGCCGAGTTCAGTCTTGGCTCCTCAGCGAAGACATACTGCGGTTGCGTTCACTTCCTCCTTTTATACTCACGGAGTAGGGCGGAGTACGCTATGCAAATTTCCGCAGCCCCAAGGCATTGCATGCCATTGGCTCGTGTTTAAATACTCGAAGAGGATTGGCTTTCTATGCGAAATCCCCCAATCTCCGTCACTTCTGACGTAACGTCTCCGTTCCCTACTCAGGGAACGAGGGTTACATACGTAACCGAGACGTTTCTATTATAATTCTATTTTGTTTTTGTTTTTTATTACTAAAGTGCAAACTGAGTGGAATATGGTTAGTAAATGGCCTTTAGTTTTTTTAAAGATAGTGATTTATTTTAGTGCAGTTCATCAAAAGTATTTAATTCACATATACAGTAATGTTAACCATCCTGATCTTAATAACATACAAAGTAGGCTGCTGAACCGGAGACGAAGCTGTTTAACTATTGCAGCAACAGTGGTCTCTATCTGCTTCTGCAGTCTGGGAGCAGTCTGACTGATTAGTCCATCCGTAGCCATATTCCCTGCCTCTCCTTTCCTCAAAGGAACTCCCTTGACAATAGAGAATAAACAGTGCACATTACAAATGAAAAAAAAAAAATGATTCTAAATTTTGTTAGATTTCAGTTTTTATATAATTACTCTTCACTACAAACATTATTTAATGATTTATTTAACTAGCAAATGACAATAATATAAAAGTATTATAAGGGTTGTACCCGAAACATAAATTGAGGCCTCTCTTCCTGCTCCTGCTCTTGCTCCCTAGCATCTCTCTGCCTTTTCATGGCTATGTGGAAGGAAGCTAGCCTACCATTTGGACATGGCCTCAGAGCCATTGCCTCAATGTTGAGGATAAGGTTCCTCAAGCTGCTGACTGCCTGTTAATGTGATTCCATCTAGACATAACTTTGTTGTACTCTTAACATGGCAAAGTATGTCAAAATAATGTTGATTTATTCTTTGACAACTAGTTAAAGCTTACCTGGGGGAGGATCACATCATTTCTTTGCAGTAATAGGCTGTATTTACTGATGGCAGAAAATAAATCTGCCAAGAAATGGCAGAATGCCAGGAATGAGCCATCCTCCATGGTCTCTTTGACCTGCATAGAAGAACACAGCAAATGTATCCCCTTCCCTCCCTTTAACTCACTGTACAGGGGCAATATCCAAATTTCCACCTCTAGTGTACACTGACATGCTTTGCTCGGCCAGCTATATCCGCATTCATTGATGATGCAGCCAGGTGGTCCATATGAGCAAATACAGCGGTGTACTGCCCAGCATCTTCCAGGGTCCCCTCCTTCTCCTGCTTCAGAAGCACATCCAATGCCCTGGATACATGTGACAACCATCGTGTCCCCTTGACCCCACTTGGATTGTTCACCAACACATTCAGTTCAACTCCAAGGCGTTTTAACTCCCTTCTGGATTTTGAACTGAAGTGGTAAGTCTTCCAAATTAAGTGGAGCAGGTTGTACACATTGCCTACCCAAGGTGAATCCTTCTGAGCAGCCAGTAGGGCAAGCTCCATTCTATAATAGTGAACACATCTGACATTTCAGTTTGCTATAAAGAGCCTTAGGTTTTTGTTTTTTTTTTATCTGTGCGTTAATGATCATTATCAGCTCACCTATGAGGCATGCAGTGAAATGGGATGATGTGCTTTCCCGCGTCCTCTTGGAGTTTTGTTGATACTCCTCCCTTCCTCCCAAGATTCACAGCTGCTCCATCAGCTCCCATGGCCACTGTCTTCTGGAGCCAGTCCAGGCGTGACTCTCCGAGTCCAGCAAATGCTGACTTGGTGGCTGCATAGATTCCTAAAACAATTCCCATTAGTTTAAATACTGTTTACACAGGGCTAACAGCATTAATAATTTATCAATTACATTTAATGAATAAATCCAATTACTAGAGCTAAGATTGCAATATCATTCCTAAATGACAACTTCTTGTCTATTAAACATGTATATTAAAAATCACAGCGGAACATTATGGTGCTCCTGCTGACTCAGAGAGTATATTCAACTACGCAGTATTGTTATTTCTGTGTTATATTACAAAGATTCTTATCACAGAAGAGCTTGAATCGGAACTAGAATTAAAGATTATGGTTTGGACATAAACACTGACGTCTACAGAAGCGATCAAAATAGAGACAAGCACCTTTTGAAAGTAACATGGAGCTTTAAATAACAATTGTATCGATCACATTGTTACTCCACTAGGTGGCGACAAGTGACTTAAATGTATTTGTTATTGAATCATTCATTCAAGAGATTCGTTGAAAAAACGCTGATTCATCCATTAATGAAACAAGCAAAGTATTTATTATGATATTATTCATATATTGCTATATAATACTAAATAAGCTACGTTTTAATAAAACAATATAAATAAAAAAAAAACATCCTCACCATCAGCATTGGCATGTTCCACCTCAACGTGTCCGACGAGGATGTTCGTGGGCTGTCCATCCAGCAGGACGCGGACATACACGATCACACACTCCTTGACAGACAGGTCGGTGTCTCTGTCGATAATAAAGGAGATGTACTGAGCTGACGACACTTGAACTGCGGTGTTCTCGCGGATAGTATCTGCTATGACCCCGATGATATTGGCACATGATTTCTCATTTGCATACGTCATGTTAATCACAACTCCGTTCTTTTTCATGAGCTGCAACATGGGTTTAAATTTAGTGAAGGCAAGCTCTTCTTTGGCGATGGTGTATGCAGTGTTAAATTTTACGTTTAGCTCTGTCAGTATAGCGGAACGACAGGCAGCATCCTGGCGATTAAAAGCCTTAACAATGGAACCTGGTTTGTTTGCCACACACTTGTCCCTACATTTTTTTGTGCTTGGCACTCTCTCCGTGTTTAACCAAGCTCTCGCGCTTAAAATGTATAGATCCAGTTGCGAACGCTGTGTTACCTGCAAACTCTGTCCCACAGGCTTTACAGTGAGCGCAGTACATTGAACCATCAGCATAACGGAGCCACTCGAAATCTTTTAGCCATTCTCTCCGAAAGCTGTACGATTTCTTTTCAGCTGGTGGATCCACATTAACCACATCACCCACATCACCAACTCCAGGATTTTTTGTGACTTTATGTGACGGTGTACAAAAGAAATCAGTCAGCGTTCGTTTCATATTCTCCAGCCTTAATTTCGCGCGGTAGTTGGCTCCCTGTCACGTGACGGAGCGCCGCGAAAGGGAGTGAATTGACAGCTAATATTAACCAATCTAAAATCTGCTTTAAAGTTAAGAACGTAAGGATGAAGTTTGATTGGTTATTTAACGTTGGATAGAATGATGGTACGGCCACCGCGTATCAGCATAAGGTACACAGTAATTTGCGAACTTTTTGTGGAGAAATGAAAACAGGTCGCACCACAACCATTATTTGCACTCGCACTAATGCTCCCAAATATATTTTTAGGTCGCACAGGTTAAAATTCAGGAGCATATGCGACCAAAATGGTCGCAATTTCGAGCCTTGAGGACCCCACGGAATCTTCTCCTAGGAGGGTGAGTATGAATTGAATTAATGGTTGTTAGGAATAAGTTATTGTTTCACATGAGAGTAGGGATACACCTAGATTTACTGGTATAGGTTAAATGAGCTATGAAGGATAGTTATACAGGAATTCTGACCTGACAGCAAAAGGCCACCTGGCCACTTCGATACCAGGGGCTCTTCAGGAGCTGAGGTAATACCAGATCTCACCACAGTGCGCAAGGCGTACTAGGAAGGTGTAGACTGTAAAACCTAATAAAAGTGTGTGGGGTAGCCCAACCAGCTGCCTCTAGAGGATAGATCCTGCTGCGAACCCCATGATCTCAATTGCCGCGCCGCCTCAACGAACGTGGGACCGGAACCATGGGGAACGCGAGCCTGACCATGCTCATCAAAGCTGTCCAGCCGGGAGCGCATGGATAGTGCTTCACAGTCTGCACAAGCAGCTCCCTCGAGAGCTGCTCGTGCCTGCTGCGCTCCCAAACAATTCACACATAAAGCATGCGTGTCCCCACCCGTGATATAACAAGGGCATGAATGCACACATCTTTTGAATTGTTCGCTGGCCATAATACTCAGTGACAAACAACACCAAATAAAACAAACAGTTTCAACACAGAGCACTTGCTGAAGAGCGAAAGCTGGTATGTGTTTTGTCAGCGTCACTTTTATGCTTCCGGTTATGCCGGTGCATGTTACGTCATGACGCAACGCCACTTAGGATTGGAATAGTTTCATTCATACTTCAGAGGCACAAGCTTAGGGAGCGTCCCCAAAGTGTCGATTTCTCGATGCAGTGTTGAGTTCCCTCGAAAGGGAACCTTCGTTTCACAACCTCATAGCTTGTGGTCAGTCTACCTCGGATGGTTTAGACATTAGGTTTGATAATCTAAATACTTATCGAGAATACTGTTGACCGGAAGTTCTTTATCCCTACTCCGCGTTCCGGAAGCAGGAAGTGTGACATCGGCCTATAGACCTTATTCAGAGCAGCGCCATGACAGGTATGAAAGTGAGGCTGTGAGGGATAGACTTACCGTGTTTCCAATGGCATCCGCTGTAAAAAGCTGAATAAAGCTCCTAGATTTCTTACAATTATCCACAGCTTACATTGTCGGGAGTTTTTTGTCAACTGACATTTCTTGGAAAGATATTTTTCCACTGTTTCATGACACAACAATCCTAAAACACATTAATAACAGTACATCCCATTGAAGAGATGTATGACTATCCCTCACAGCCTCGCTTTCATTCTCATTAAAAATCAAAGATGGCGCTTCTGTGAATAAGGCGTATTACTTTAGGCGCTTTTCCACTGCATAGTACGGTACGGTTCGGTACGTCTCAATTGTGGTGCTTTTCCACTGCATGGTACAGTACAGTACGGTTCGCTTCAGGTCGCTTTAAATGGTACCTGGTCTGTTGAGGTTCCAAGCGTACCGTACCGGTACTAAAATGTGACGTGAAACACTGCAGATCACTGATTGGTCAGACAGAATCGTCACTACCAGCGTCACTACTAGCATCATTGGATTTGCGACACGAGACACGAGACACTTTTTTAGCAGTATTTTGCCTTGCTGCCATCAGCCTCATTTTAAACACATTTTTCCGTCTAGCAGCAACCACATACCGAGAATCAGGAACACCATCCCCTCGATAGTCTACATTGTTCCTGTGTTGTGGGTTTGAAAATGTGGCGCTTTTAAGATGATGTCATGGCAGTAGAGGCGCACGCAAATAACGATCAGTCCCACACACTTTGAAGGGGTACTACTGCAGTGGAAACGAAAAGCGATCCGAACTGTTCCGCGCCGAGTCGAAGCGTACTGAGCCGAACCGTACCGTACTATGCAGTGGAAAAGCGCCATTTCTTAAAGTAACTTGCCCAACACTGATTAATAACAAATAAATAAAAAGATATTTGGAAAAGTCCCTTTAGTTTAAAATGAACGCTCAGCTCAGTTTTTGGTTCACACTGTTATTTGATTGTTTCTTTGTTGTTGTTGTTTTCAAATACAAACTTTTTATTTCCATATTTATGTATAATTGCATTTTTTCACACATTTATTTATTTATTCATTTATTTATACATTTATTCATTTCCACATTAATTTATGTATGTATGTATGTATGTATGTATGCATTCATATATGCTTTTATGTCTACATTTATTTATTTTCACATTTATTTATTTATTTATACATTTATTAATTTCCACATTTATTTATGCCAACATTTCTTTCTCTGTATGCAAATGAGGGGGCTGTGCTTTAACTCAGACATCAGCAATCGAGCTCAGAGTGGCAGTGCTGAAGCTTTGAGGCCACAGTGACACCTTGTGGTTTTGTTTTGACATTTGTCTCCTGCGGTCTAATGGTCCTCTGTACTGGTTGGTTGCAACCCAAAAATGTATTGCAGGTCTGTTTAAAAAAAATAATACACAATACAGCTCACGGGAGCTTGTGAAGGCATGTTTAACAGGTAAAAGTAGGCTACTTTCAATAAAAGGTCCAGCATACTAGATTACTTTTAGCTGTTGCTATAACATCATGAGTAAGCAATTGAGTAATAGATTAACTCTCTGTCGTGAGCATTTCGCTTATAATAACCCTGTCCAACGTATCTGCAAACATTATAAACTGGTACATTTGCCTTCCTGAATGTGCGTCTCCTCTTGTCTTGAGTGTGTGTGGACGCAGATGTGCGTCTCCTCTTGCGTTGAGTGTGTGTGGACGCAGATGTGCGTCTCCTCTTGTGTTGAGTGTGTGTGGACGCAGATGTGCGTCTCCTCTTGTGTTGAGTGTGTGTGGACACATTGTTTTATTGAATTGTCCATTGTAGCGCATTGCATTACAATGCTCCATTCACTTTGACCTGTTTAATCTTTGAATGTCTAAATGCAGAAAAATGGTGCAGAAAATGGCTCTGGCTCAGACTGCTACAGTTGCCACGCCCCCGGGTTTAGAAAAAAACATTAGGCTGGGTAGACAGAATTTTCATTTTTGGGTGAACAGTTTAT